ATGCATTTCATTGATAATCTTTAAAATTTGTAGTGGGCCCATTCTCCATAGAAAAATTGATTGTCTCCTTTACACATAAATTTGGATCCTTTATAAGTATTCAGTGTGTGAAGAGAAGCTGGTGTCTGAAGATTTTGAGTTTTGTCGGGAGTCTGGGGATCGTTTAAAATGTCAGGGGAATCCAGACGAATCCCGACCATCTGGAAGCCCTATTCTTAATGGAAGATATAATATGTCAATGGGACCCAGCTCCAGATCCATTTCACTATCACCTGGATTGTATGGTAGTTTGTCACATTCGTTCTACAACAAAAATATTTAAAATCATACTTAAATAATTCATTTTGTATTCTCTGAAAATGTAAATCAGTTCAGTGTTATTGTGTTCACATTTGTGAATGAAGTTAAATCCGACTCGGACAATATAAAATGCCTGGCATATGGTGTAAACTAGGTAGAATCCGAGACCTCGGGTTGGAATGCCCGTGTACGTGGGCGCGTGTGTGCAGTGGGCGCGGCCGGTCGTCGAACCAGCTTTGTTTGCCAACTCAGCTGCACTCGCCGTCACACGTCACAGCCACAATCGTATTCATGTCGAGTGGCGACGTGTTCGATGTTCCCTCGATATGCGATCAATTGACATTCTTACTTAACGATAAAAATATGTAAATATAAATTCAATGGCGTTTAATTTTTTTATGTCTAACTCTAAGGTTTTAAAGTAACTGAATCGATGATTTCAAAATATAAAAGATTGTAAATATAATATTTTATGAATGTTTTCCTTTTTATATATTGTAGATCTTGTTATATTAGATAAACATGAACAAAGCGTCCTAATTTGTAACAATAACAGTGAGCTGTTCACTGTTAGAATTCAAGGACTATGAAGGACTAGATGAAATAAACTAAACGGTCGTGTCTTATGTATTATGAACGACTTTCAAATATTGTGGCAAGGAAAAGCATTTTCTTAAAGGATTTAAAATATTTAAAGCCGATTTTAAATATTATAGAATATTAAAAATTAAAATAATTATACTTTTTAAGTGTTTTCAGCTCTGAAAAAGCAATATGCACACTTTGTTTCCCTAGTTACAATTTATTTACAAGTACATTATATAATTTTGTCTTAGTACATATAAGTATAAAATACCATGTTCAAGCTTAATCCCCAAACCAATTAACCGATTTTTATGAAATTTTGTAAATGTGTATTTGCTTGCTCCAACTTGGCCTTGGCTCCAACTTTGACCCCGATAAGTGCCTCTCAATATTTTTTATTGCAAGCTGAATGATTTTTTATACGAGACAAAGGGTCGTTGTAAAGGATAGAATAACATCTGCCTAGACAGACGGCTTGTATTAAATATGAACTAAAATAAATAAATACAAAGAAAGTGAGTAGAGGTATAAATAAGCCTTCAAAACAAGACATTCTTGAACTGCAGTCACATGTATTTTTTATTTATGAATATAGTTAATTTTGTTTCCTACACTTAAAAAGAATCTGCGTTTTCATATTAGTAATTGGTCTCAATTCCATTAAAAAAATCCACAACTACTAAACTACAAAATGGCGACATATTGTTTTAAATAGTTTTTGACGTCTAAAATCTATTATGAAGTCTGTCACGTCAGCATTTAATAAAGACGCAAACAAATTCGAATGCCGAACACGGTGAAAACAAACAATAGCTCGACTTGGCTCGGAAAGCAAAGTGAGAGCTATCGAGACGGGATAATGACTCGGTATATGCAATGGATAAAGTAAACACGCATTGCAGTAATATTTAAACTAATACGCTCATAGTGATCTACCTCATTCTCATTAAAGTTTCGCGAAATTGATTAAATTAACTATAGTATTAAGATTAAAATTGAAACTTAATGATAAAATTTACATAATAGAACTTTTGATTTTCTTTGAAATATTTTCTCGGTAGAAGTACGTATTACTATTATTTATTCTCTGGTAGAAGGTAATAGTGTTATGTGCTCTAAGGTATATAGTTATAAAGTCTATGGTTATATGACATAATAATAATCTTTGGGTGTTTATTTTGTCTTGTGAAATAGATTCCATGGCGAATAAAATCAAATGTCATCCATTTATAAGATAATATATCGTCACATTTGTTACCGAAAAAATGTAATTAATAATTTGTTATGATAATATACGAAACTGGTCTTATGCACTTTATTAAATCCAATTGTATGATGGAAGATTTTGTGAAAGCGAGCATGACATGTAAGTCAGTAGTCGAATTTTTATAGAATTTCATTGTAAAGTTATCAGTGTAGTGTAGATTTTCACCCTCCCCCATTGATCTAAATGACAGTATAATAAGTCTATGTCCTCCCCTCACATTTATCTCTATTATCGAGACCAAGTGTTAGGCCGCAGTAGTTTGCAAAATTAGAAAAAATTATTTAGCTGTGAACAAACCGAAAGCTTTGACTTGGCAAATTTTTCGAATCGTGTTATTATAAGTAAGCTTTAGATAATAAAATGATATTGAAACCAATTACTGGTTCCATTTCCATCTCATGCCGAAAATGATAGCAGCGATAAGTGTGGGTTTTCACCAAAGCAGATTTTATTTATAAAAAAGATTTAGAAGTATTTTTAACACATGACGACCCAAGCGAAGCCCGCTCCTGTCTGATACATCTGTCAGTTGTATGTAAACACCTTTACACTACGCTTGCCAGTGGTAACATGCTGCACCTAGGGAACTCGTTTTGGATAAATCTTATAGAAACATTTTCTAAAGTCCCACAGCTGAGTAACCTCTTATTTCTAAGAGAGTTTTGGAGCAGGGAAGATCAGTCGCACTATTCAAATAACCCGACTCCACATACTCTAAGTATATTTCGTAAGCCAGTGATCAACCAGTTTTAGTTGTGTGGTAGCTTTGATAAAGAATCTATCACCGCATTTCGCTCCGAGTGTGGGGCTTCTACGGGGATACCAGAGAAGTAGTATGGCTACCAATAGTTGGCGGTACAACCATCTCATTTACGTCATCAAACCAGCACACAATCCACCTGATGGTAAATGGACGCTGTGGCTCATAGACCTCTACATTCAACCCCGCTTAAGAATCAAAATGCAGATGCGTTGTCACCCTTAAGGACTAAGATGGAATACCTCGATTCCAGTAAAACGGGTCTCCGGTTGTCTACACTCACCATACGAAACACAGCAGCGTTAAGCTGCTATTTTATGCTGGTATGCTGTGAGAGCGTGGTCCTGCCCCGGTCGAGCCGACCCATTCATGTTACAATCATAATAGCTGCAGTGTGGCTCTACTACGTAAAAAAAACCGAAATCGAAAGAATTTATTTTATAATGTCATTATTATGGAGATATTTCTGGAGATGGGCCGAATATGGATTTCACCAAATACGAATATCCGGCCGAAAGTTCGGTAAATCTTTTACCGAGCCGAATATTCGGCCGAACATTATTCGACAGGATCACCTCGGTACCTAACCATTTATGTCGAAACTTGTTACCCGTAAAGCGCGCGGGATATAGCGCAGGACCCTGCCCCTCACTCCCCCGCCACACCTGTCATGTTATTGCTTCGAGCAAATTGCCGACACATGCTTTTTTTTTTTTTTTTTGCATGGGGAAATGCCTACGCATACCCGCCTCGCGGGGGCAAGGACGGGTTATGTCGGACTCGCACCGACTAAAACCCCATGGTGTTCCACCTTTGTCGCATATTGGCAGGGCTACGGGAACGCTTTCGCACACATCCGCGGCCCTACTAGCGCCTGCCGCCCCATGGCAGCACCTCCTCGGGAGAGGAAAATTCCTCCCCATTCTCCTTCCCAGGTAAGGCGCACCAGAACACATGGCGCGCCTTCCTCCAACTACGTCTGTGCAACAGACGCCCCCGCGTCCGATGCACAAAGGCCATGGGGCCAGGAAAAACGAGCACTTAGAAATACTAGCCTTCCCGACCCCAGCGGCGGATCTGGTCTATGGCTCCGCCGCCAACCAAGATTCGGCTGCGGAGGGTAGGGAGAGCGGCGCCTCGCAATACCGACAATCCTCTCCCCCCGCAGCCCCACCACCACCGCATCAACGGTGCGGCCCCGTTTGAGTCGCGAAGGATAGGGCGAGTGGCGCATCGCCATACCAACACTCCTCTTCCTCCGCGACTCCACCTCGGCTGCAGCGGTAGAGGGTGCGCGAGTCCCCACTCGCTGCAGTCCACCAGCACACATCCAAAGTGGGCTTCCCAAGCCCACTCGGAGCGGCCACCTCAGGCCGGCCCTTCACCTCGGGCCAGTCACGTGGGTTCCTCTTTGTTCACCGTGGGAGACCAAGCCACGGCTACTAAGCCCCCCCGCCACGACAAGGCGGGAACCCGTTCGGGGGGGACACATGCTTATATTTTGACTTTTGACTATTTTAGTGAGAAAAAAAAATATTTCGTTCTTATTATTCTTAGTGGAAATTGATAATTATATGGTAAAAATTAGTGGCAGATCTACTCTTTGGACTTATTTCAGAGAAACTGACGACCAAAGTAAAGTGGAATGTTTCTTTAATTCCATAAACATTTTATTAATTTTTCTATTTGCTATACTTGGACATAAATCCACAGTGTACCGAATAACTAAACAAGTAGATTTAACCCATAAATAAAATATACTTTCAACAGTAAAATTATGAGACATGGCATTACTCAATTCTTACATTTCTTCAATACAGAGGATACTTTGAGTACCACTTACTGAATTTAATGAAACGAATATTCGGCCCATCTCTAAATATTTTCATTGTGATCCGTTTTGATTGAGTCGCATCAAATACGATATAGGAATGATGCAGAAAGCGGTACAAGGAGTACCGCTTTCTGCATTTGAGTCCAGAGCTGTCCGTCACGGAGTCCCAGACGTCTCAAATGACCCGAGATAATCATTACAATAACATTATTATAAAAGCTCATAATCAAGGATTGTTTCCACTTGTTGTACAGGTGTTGGGCGCTGCAGCAGCCAGTCTGGCAGCGAGCGCGAGTCTGACGAGGGCGCGCGATGCGCAGAGCCGTCCGCGCCGGTCGCGATCCCAGACAGCGAGGAAATGCAGCGACGCAAGGAAGAGGCGCGCAGGAAGCGCCGCAGGAAGAAACGCTCCGGCAGCTCCGTCGTCACCTCGTGCTTCCAAGGTTCGTACGCACGTGAAACTTTCGAGCCGTACACTCACTATTATGCCCGATTTCTATATTCAAGGAACGTTACGTACCTACTCCTTAACGATCCGTTTTATTACATACTTAATGCGTGCAGTCGGTAAGTTTTTGTTCAAGTGGGAAAGTGAAGCAGGAGACTAACAGAATGGTATAATATCCAAGAGACAGCAAAAGAAGACGAGGAAAGCAGCATATGGGAAGATGAAATAAAACTTACAGCAGTATTATTATTATAAGTGCGTGCAATCAGCAACTTAGGATAACGTGCATTAAAAACTAAACGCTTCGTAAATAGTTAACAAGTATTCTATAAAAGGAAACCAAGCGTTTTTGAATATAGAAACTCTGCGTTAGTGGTCCAGCTGCAGCCAACGCTTATGTTTCTATAAAATTAGAAAGACAAGGGAATTAACAATGCACTCGATGGTAAGTGACTGCAGTCCACACCACACGTGCTACCAACTTCAAATAAAGAAGTCTGCAGATGCGTTTTCATCTTTCTGGACTGAGATGGAATGCCTCACGTCTTATTGTAATAGCTATGTATATCTTTGGACTGGAACTTAGCAGTACAGGCAGAAATAGGCAAGGGTGTTTGTCTAGACAGAAATATTATCGCAGAGAACTAATATGTAATTCTTCGTAGCCTGTAATTAAATGGTTGTACTTCAATTCGAAACACAATAGTGGGTGGCTGATTTTAACTAGATAAAGTTAAGAAGGGATTTTATTTATAATATATTTGCGTTCTCACACCGATGTTGTTAAATCTATAACGCGACGAAACTTTCTATTTAAATTTGTACAAACGGTCGAAAACGAGACTTATTTTAAAGCAAAAGTAATCTTTGCGTATATAAGGATGTGTATGTCATTCGTAACGCCCACGTTCAAACGCTACCGGTCCCCTAATTCTTAGCTCGACCGTATCTAGACAGACTGGCATTATTAGTCATAGTTTGTTATGCTTTAAATATAATACATTAGAACTTATTTCTCGAATGGTATGAAATATGTTTAGTGCAGGTGAACCAGTTTTATGTGTTTGTATTTTGTATAGAATAGAATTTCCAATCAGATAGGTTGAGGTGAGGAAAACAGAGATGTAAATGTTAGTTATGCCCCGTAAAGAATGTTTCCACTTCTAAGATTATGTCTATTATTATATATTCTGTTTTATCTAGGCATATCAACGCTTAGACAATTAATATTATACTCTATAGTCGAGTCCTTAAACCTACGTCGGCAAATAACTAAAAGCTGAGTAAAGCATTGCGTCCGTTACTGCTGTCATCACCGATCCCCTTATCAAGATTGATTTGCGTGAAATTTTCACTGAATTTCGCAGAAATCTCATCACGAGCACTCTTACTTCAAATTATAAAGAATGTCATCAAATAAAATAACATCAGTTTGAAAACCAATGAAGGGTGATGGTATAACCCATAGTTGTCGGCATTGACTTTAGTATGTTAAAAAATCTAGCTTTTTTCAATTGGCTATTTACGTTTACATTCATCGCTTATGCCTTATATACAACACGAATAGATTTTTCCTTCAGTTTGAACCAATCACGTATTTCTTCTTAGTCCTCAGTGCTCATAAAAGGTCTTCATTATTTATATTCACCATAATATATTTATTCTATACCATGAATGGACTGTCTTAATCTTTACCATCGGAGGTTGCTAAACATTACGACTAATGTAATTTATTATGAAAGCATTACTTACAAATAATTACAAAGTAAAACGCATCAACATATAACCAGCGTCTGTCCACCAGTAAAGCATTACATAAGCTAATTAGTCCAGACAATGAATACTTAAAAACACACACTACGGCTTCCAGTATTCTTTTGGGGCGATTACCTTCGAACGTCGAATTAGTCACTGTACGTAACGTTCATTGTCTCGTCTATTGATATTCATAACAATAAAAATTGTTGAATACAGCCCATTGAAGTAATATGTACTTACGTACTAGAACAGCTATCTCAAACAAAAAATGTGCGCTACTCTGTGTTCGCGCGGTTGGTTTTTTATCATAGAATAAACATAGGTAGAATGATCCGTAGGTAATAGTAGATTGTATTGTTAAATAAGTAAATTATATCGAGAACAATATTGTAATATTGTCATTTATTTTGTGTATTATATATGTTTATTTTATATAATATTAAATGATATTATATCACAATTACATTTTTATCATATTTAAATATTTTAAAAGGTACCTAAGTCAAATATAAAAAACATACTAAATGTATGTTTAACAAAACTTATTAACATAACATTTAAATTACAAATAATTTATTTAAATTAGAATAAAAGCCGTTCATAAATGCTGGGCACGCGAGAGTTAAAAATGGACGAATTTATACCACTTTGACTTTGATGTGGAAACCTAAAAATAAAATAAAAGAATAAAAGGCAGATTTAAACATGAAAAATTTTGCCAAATTATAATAACTTATATATGTTTCTACAAAAAATGTATATTCGTCCTATACTTAAGTACCCACAGAAATGTCGCATCTGAACATATTAATTTCATAATCTATATTCTCTGACACGAGATGACGTCTTAAGAATAATTTGTTTTATTATTAATACATAATACTTTTTATTAAGTATCTTATTAACCGATGAAAAGTAATTCCTTGGTTTTTACTGACATTTCTTGAATTATTTGTGCAATATCTAAGTACATACGACGGCACATTTTTTATCAAGAGATTTTTTTTAAAATCAACACAACACGTGACATCTCTACAAGCGCCTAGCGAGTGACTGATTAAAGTGCGGTGTATGCACCGCAGTTGAGTGGAACAGAGTAGCTGAATGCAGTGTCGCCTCTAGTACGTAGTACATAATAGCTCAGTGATACAGCCAGAACAAACTACTAACGATTTACGACATAATTTATAATCGTTTAAATTATCTCAATATGTAATATGTCTTTTTCTATTGTAATTCAGTGACGACAGTTAGAAAGCAATTTTAAGTGCTGTCGATCTTCATGAGTAAATAAATCCGTTAATATGGAGCCTAATATAAATATAAGCTTATAGACTTGTAAATATAATTGAGTAGAATAAGAATTAAAAATACCCCCCGTCATCAAAGTTTATTCTTGAAAACTCGTTATAAAGTCAAAAACACTAGGTAATAGATGCCTTTGGTTCTTGATTCTGAGTTAACGGCTTTTTAACCGACTTCAAAAAAGGAGGAGGTACTCAATTGCACTACCATTTCATCGGTAGTTTTTGAGTTATCCCTAATATTGCGTATTTAACTGACTTCGACTACATTGATGTTGTTCTTATATTGTTTGTTTATTGAAGTCTGTTGTATAAAATTTTTAATTTTACCACTTGTAAACAATGAAAATTTATGCAGTAATTCTTCACGCGTAATGTAATTTTATACTGTGCTAATCGCCCGTTGTCAGTGTACTTCACGAACCTTTCTATTTCTATGAAGTAGAATGAGCTTTGGACCCCTCCGAACCATACGTATAAGTTGTATCGTGAAAATTAGGGTGCGAAGCTTTTCGGTGAGGTATCGATTTGTTAGGGGTATACCCAAACGGATCTACTCTCATTGTGTAGGAGTCGACACTTACTTCACCCAAATTATGTACTCTGAACGATTGAAACAAATATTTCTAATATGTTACTAATCAGTTTTGAACGTATATCATAGTACTTGAAAATTGATTTTACTATTTTGTTATTGTTTTAGCCTAGTTTTAAATATGTACTGTTCCCATTTGATAGTGCTTGCTTTGCCTTAATTATCATGTCGGTTTATCAGTTAAGCGATCGAAATAGCGGTGGTAGTGTCTTACCAAGATATTGGATACTGTATTTATTTGGTTGCCTCGTTGGTCTAGTGGGTGCTGATCATAAGGTCTGAATTCCGAAGTTCGGGTTCGAATCCCGGTTCGAGCTAAAATCAGTTATTGAGTTTTTCTGTGAAGAAGTTATCAGTAGCAGCCCGGAGTCGGGAAATTGGTGGTGTTTCACCCTCGTGCCTCGGAAAGCACGTAAAGCCGTTGGTCCTGCGTCTGATCTCTATTAGGTCGCGTTGAATTACCGTCCCATCACACTTAGAGGGAAGAAATTGAGAGTGCACTTGTTTCGCATATACTCACGCATATACTCGGACACTATAATTCTGTCCTACGCTGATTTCTGTAGTCGTTGAGATATAGATATAGGAGGACATAATAATTAGTTATTTCTTATTATTATAGTTGTTTAATACGTTTTTCTATTTAACAATGGCCGCAGTGTGAAATGGAGATGATGATAAGTATTGACGAAAGTGTTTTGCTTGATCCAACAGACCTGTACAAGCTGACAGGCGAGGTGCTAGGTGAAGGCGCGTACGCGTCAGTACAAACGTGCGTGAACATCTACACGGGGCGCGAGTTCGCAGTTAAGATAATAGACAAGGTGCCAGGACACGCCCGGGCGAGGGTGTTCCGCGAGGTGGAGACCTTCCACTATTGTCAGGGACACCCCAACATAATCCAGCTCATTGAATTTTTTGAGGACACCGACAAGTTCTATCTTGTCTTTGAGAAGGTGAGTCAACGTTTATTTACTATTCTCGTTTAATTTGTAGGCAGAAACTTAGACCACGCTCTCAGAATGCCAACGTAAAATAGCAGCTTAACGTTGCTGTGTTTCGTATGGTGATAGATAACCGAAGACCCTTTTTACTGGAAACTAGGCATTCCGTCTTAGTCCTCACAGGTGACAACGCATCTCGTAATCGAGGATAGATAGATGTCTATGGGCCACAGCAACCACTTACCATCAGGTGGACTGTGTGCTCGTTTGTCACCCTTATCTATTTATTATTATTCACCCGAAAATTCACAAAACAAGAAAATTTAAAATGAATTTACAATTTTAATCACTTTAAACGTAGAATATTTAAAAAATTGAACATAATATTAATTCATAAAATTGTTCAAAACGAATGAGGGAAAGAAAATATGCGTGCGCACCGCTCTCTCGCTTATATCCCCCACTCAACTACCGTTCGCCTCGCCCGATCACACTTTTCGTAACGCTGTCGTCACACCTTCGCCAGCTTACTCCCCAAGTCAAGCGTGCGTAGAGAATTTCACTTCAAAAAAGTTCGTAGAATATTTTCAATTGAAAACTATAAGGGAGTTAATTTTATGAAAATCGCTAAAGCCGTTTCATGGAAACTAGTTACGAGAAGACTCGCATTAAACCTTATGCACAGGCCCCCGGGCAATGTGAATGTCGGGCCCCTCTCACTTATTCCACGATCCTATATCACGTAAAGATATTTTTCCTAAAATTGCAGGGTACAAAGGCTAATCCGGCGCTGGTTATGAGACTCATATATAACAATAAACCCAAAAAAAAACTACTTAATTTTGATGTTACGCTTGTAAACCATTTTGTCATTCTTACGAAATCTATAATTTCTATCCGAAACATTATTCTCGTATTTTAACGATATCTCATTCTTTAAAAGATATCCAGGCGGCGTATAGACTATATTATAAAGGTATTACTCTGTTTTCTTCCTGAATTGGAGAGTTGTAAAAATATATGCATTAGGTAAATATTTTTACAACTGTTTTGTTACCTGCAAAAATCTTATGTTATATATAGATCGTTATGGAGAAGGGAATAAGTTTCTTAAGAAACTTATTACTATATTTAAATATAATATATACAGTATACAGTAGTATATTTTGACATTTATGATCAATCCTAAAATATAGGTTATCGAAATAAGGAAAAATCGCTTAAATGAAAAGATTTTTTAGAAAATAATAGGAATTAATGCCTCATAATATTATATATTTTTTTGGCTAAAGTTTACCATCAAAACCTTAGAAGTCTGTCAGTATTATAAGATTGACACATTAAAAATAAAACGTGCCTGTTTTGCTACTGTTTACGATATGTTTATTATTTACAACATGTGGTTTGTAGATGGTCTCTCCTTTGAGAAGTCTTTTCCACGAAAAACCTCCCTTAGCCGCCGCGCAACATCTTCAAATTACATACTTTACATTTTATTTCTCATATTTCCCACAGTACTTGTTTATTAGAATCAGACTTTAAACCTGAGACTAATCATAAACTGCCTTTTGCAATAAGACAATATAAATTTACGTCTACAGTTGTCAAGGAGTCTTGTTGTCGAACTTCAAAAATATTTTTGCTCGTGTTGCATGTGGCCTTGTTATCGTCGTTCATCCTTAAATAGAGTATTAGACATGTTACATATTAATATAATGTGTTCTTTGTATTTCTAAGAGTAGTCATTTATTTAAATTGAAACATGTGCTATTTACTATACGAAGTATGACATCAGTTTTTGTTGCGAAATAATCCACTGCCTTAAAATAGATTTAAAATAATAATAAAATCATTACAATATTTAATTTATATCTTATATCATAATAAATATATGCCGTTTGATAAGTTATCAGCTCATCTAATTCCCTACCATTAAGTGTTGAAATCAATTAATAATGATAGCACCTTCATGTGACTTTGTGAACAGAAAGCAACATAATGGTAACAAAGGTGTCCCTTGTAATTTCATTCCCAATCTATTTTTACAATAATTTAGTGAAGCGTATTTACGACATACTTAACACTTTTAACTAATGATAATGATGCTTTGTTTGGGGAATGATCCGTCGATTTACCTCATTGTGATGTAAACACAACATGCGTCTGTTAAACATTAGTCATGTCATATGGGGGCGTTGCTATTAAACAATTGCCAAGGTTATATTTATAATGCAAGATATAATGAGGCAAGGGAACAAAGTCGATGTTTACCATTTTAATTGTTATGTATTAATATACAATTATCACTAAACAGTATAAAACAAAGTCGCTTATCTGCGTTTGTCTGTATATTCCCTTAAATGGTGTTAAAGCCAAGCCTTTTTGTGGCTACAGCATGAGTAGGTGCGACTGGAGATGGACCTTCAAAAAGGGTTGCCAGATCTCTTCACTCTACTTACAAAACACGGCAACGTTATGCTGCTATTTTTTTAAAATTTATTAATCAAAAGTATTCATACATATTTGCTTGATTTGTACCATTATACCAATTTTTGTATTGGTACTCACATTCGCTACTAACGCGCTGCTTTACATAATAAATATTTAATTAATTAATTAAAAGTAAAAAATATACATTTAAGTATATGTCCCTTCTTTATTGTGTAAGTGGTAAGCACCCATTTGCAATTCTCAAGGGACAAATTGGAATTGAGCGCAACCGATGTGAACACTCATTGCTTTCGTCGACGAACCGGTTCTATTAGGCAGCGCAAACTACTTAATTATATACTTACAGGCGTTTTGACTATATATTTTTTAATATTCGCTGGTATTATGTGAGCAAATAACTTTCCTGTCGGTTATCCAAAATACATAATTATTCCGTTTGCAGATCAACGGCGGCCAGCTCCTATCTCGCATCCAGGAGCATCACTACTTCTCCGAGCCGCAGGCGGCTGAAATAGTGCGCGAGATCGCTAACGCCCTTCATTTCTTGCACGGCAAGGGCGTGGCACATCGCGACCTTAAGCCCGAGAACATTCTATGCGTGCATCGTGATCGCCTGTGCCCCGTCAAGATCTGTGACTTCGACCTGGGTAGCGGCATCAGCTTCACCTCCAGTTTGGCCAGCCCACTCGCCACGCCGCAGCTCATGACACCGGTAACACGCACTGAAACATATAAGTCGTTATTATTTAGCATTATAACTTTGTAGAAATGATTTTTAAGTCATTTACATCATCACAATAAGACAAAAAAGGTGCCTGAGAAATTAAATTTCATGGTTTTTTTGTTAACATTTCCATAGCCCATAGATATCTTTTTTTTTTTTTTTTTTTTTTTTGCGGATGGAAAATCATCTAATGACCCCTTTCGCTCTGGGTGGAGCGTAAGGACGAGCCCATAGATATCTGGGGTCTAAGTTTAAAAAGGATGGTTGCTTGCTCTATGTACTAAAATGGTACATCTTCATAGCTTGAAAATATATTGGTTTGTGGTAGAAATTGATGAAAAGGTGGTACATACTTAATTATACTCCAAGACTGATTAGAAATCTACCACCTAGTAAGTTTCATTGAATAAGGATTTGCTGATATACTGTGATATTTACAAGTGTTTATCTAAACTGCATGTCTTTCATTAAGGTGATATTTACTATGTACTACTACTATGTACAGACTGCGCACAAAATCTGTGCGTCAGTGCAGTGAAGAAGCCATAGAACACTTTTTATGGCATAGTATAAGTTTGAGATGATGGAAGTCAACTACCAATTTGTTCCGATCACACTTGTATATTTCTTTTTCGTTTTTTCATTGTAATTTTAAATATTTTGTGCATTTATCTTAAGCCTTTTGCTGTCCTATGTGCTACATATACTTCATTGCTATTGTTTTACTGTGTGTCTGAAAATCGGATAGTGAAAGTGTTAAGATGATGATAATTTGGATGGATACCATGTGTGGCATATGAACGTGTTTGAAGTGGTTGAAATTGAAGTTGGTTGTGGTGCGGCAGGTGGGCAGCGCGGAGTTCATGGCCCCCGAGGTGGTGTCGCTGTTCGCCGGGTCGGCGGCGACGCACTACGACAAGCGCTGCGACCTGTGGTCGCTGGGCGTGATCGCGTACATCCTGCTGTGCGGCTACCCGCCCTTCCGCGCCGACTGCGGCAACGACTGCGGCTGGGAGCGCGGCGAGAACTGCCGCGCCTGCCAGGAGCTGCTCTTCACCACCATACAGGTGCGCGGTGCGTGTGCTCCGTGCACATGGTTGTAAACGTACGAATCTGGAAGTCCATCTGCATAGGTCCCTCGATGGCAGTATATTCAGGGATGCATTCTTGTTTGAAGAGCAAAAGTCTTCCCTTGTTTGAACCTAGTTGCTGGTGTCCATGGCACAAGTAGTCACTTACCATAAGGTGAACTGTGAAGCCTTTTAGTTATTAAAAAAATTCAAACTTTCTATTTTTGTTTCTGAACCGTCTCATGTCTCTTTATATCCACCGATGAGTTCTTGTTTGAAGTATAGAGAAGACAGTTATAATTAAAGGTTGTGAGGCATGTTCGATCATCCTATCACCTGATGGTAACTTCTTCCTTGTTTGAACCTGCTTTTTCAGATGTCCATGGGCTCCAGAAGTCCCTTACAATAAGTTGCACTATAAGGCTTTAGTTTAGTAAAAAGCACTGACCTCTATATATACAAGTACGCTGGACTGGCTATACACCGTGACATGATGAAGCGATTTGATTTCCGCCATTTTCCGCGCTGACAGCAGAAGTTCACGTCCACGGAACTAATAATAGTGATAAGACAGTGTACCAAATTATATCGATAAAAATTCTATACCCTACCTATACCTAAATAAATAGAATGGACTCTATGGATAGATGGACTCTACCCGTAACGTCCATTCCATTTGTGTATCATATTAATATAATGCCATTATTATTCATCATCATTAAAACCCTTCACAAGTCCACTGATGAACATAGGCCTCCCCCAAGCAATGCCACAAAGCACGCTCCTGAGCTAACTGCATCCATCAACTTCCTGCGTGTCTTACCAGGTTTTGACTCCATCTAGTGGGGGAACGTCCTACACTTCACCTGCCGGTACGGGCCTGCCACTCGAGAACCTTTTTTCGCCATCAGTATTCGGTTCTTCTAGCTATATGACCGGTCAATTGCCACTTCAGCTTACTAATGCGTTGGTCGATGTCGGTCACTCTGGTTCTGCTGCAGATATCCTCATTCCTAAGTTTAAACCCCCGAGCATAGCCCTCTTCATAGCTCGCTGAGCGACTTCGAGCTTCCTCATATGGCCAGCAGTGAAATACCTCGTCTCAGATCCATAGGTCATCACTGGCAACACGCACTGGTTGTACAATCTAGTTTTCAGGTATTCCTGATGAGAAAATGTGTTGCAATCTCCCGAACGCTGCCCAGCCGAGTTGAATCTGTCGATTGACCTGTCGGTCGAAATTGAACGTACCTATTCGGACTATTTGTCCCATGTAAAAATACTCGTCAACAACTTCAGCTAAGTGCTCCCAAAAACTACCGGCAAAGGTGTGACATGGACATTACACATGGCTTTTGTTTTGTCCATGTTCACTTAAGGCCTATCAGTTGGGAGACACTATTGAGGTCATTGAACATAGTGCGTAGGTCTTCCAGCGATTCTGCCATAAAGACTATATTGTCGGCAAATCAAAGGTGAGTGACGTACACGCCATTGACGTTAATACCGTATCCTTTCCAGTCCAGTAGCTTGAAAACGACTTCCAATGCAGTAAAGTATTTCGGAAATATTACGTCACCCTGTCTTACACATCTCTACAGTAGGATTAGTTTTGTACTCTGCTTCTGTACTCGGATAGCCATTGTAGCCCTTAGACCACTAAACAAAAAAATTATTAAGATTAAACTAACTACACGAAAGAAAAAGAAAAACATAATTTCTAAAATAATTTATTGTCAACAGTTAATTTAGTTCTAGTATTATAAAAAACAAATCAGCTGCTATAATAACGCCTATTCTAATCAATTACAGGTCAGTCTATAAACAGTAAAATATTTTCTACTATATAAAAAAATATGTTTGTTCGTACTTTCTACGATGCCATACCGTTCATCAGATTGCGGTAAAATTTGTGCGAAGGTTATACGCATGGTACAATTAATTGACACTAGATGGTGTGCGTATGACTATTTATTTGAAAGTTATAGTTATATATTATTCTATTTCAATGATTGTATTATCATTCCTAATTACACAATATAACTGCTCCACATTTCTAACGATATTTCCACAATTATTTCTTCTGCGGCAGCAATGCGCCGGGTACGAGCTAGCAAGATAATGTAAAAAATATAAACTTTGAATTACATAGTTATCAGTTATTTACAACGTCATTTTTGAAATTAAAATTACAATATTAAAAAAAATTAAAAATAACTGAAATATCATACAGTCCTACTTTCCGTAGTATCGTCCCAAGAATGCTGGCTACGTGTCCTCGTGTCTTCAAGCGAGGAAACAACAAACTAAACAACTTCTTATTACCAGCAGCGATTATCAGTCGCAGATACAGTTTTTTTAGGAACTACACAGCACGTGCACCCTATGGACTAATAGTCTCTACAGCAAATTGCACAAATATGTACTCATCTTCTAGATACTCTGGGCTATTTACTTAGTTCAGATGCCTCTAATGCCACCCCTGCTTTAGACGAGGTACCCCTGAGATGGGATGCTGTCAAAGTGTTCGCAAGTAGTATCGCACACTAAAGCTTTATCTCTCTCTCTCTCTCTCTCTCAAGCAACCAAACCCATACTGTCGGGTCTCCTGGTATCGTCTCTAAATATTCTACAAAGAACTTAAATCGACGCAACACTCCCTTCCCTTACGACTCCACCTCGACTACAGCGGTACAGGGAAAGGAATCTCCTCTAGCCACAGCTCACTAACACACATCCAACGTGGCTCGACATCATCAGGCAACCTTTCGACACTTGGCTATGGCCCTTGAGTTTGGTGAAAATGAGGAAAGAAAAAAAGCATTCGAAATAATAATCTAATAATTTTATATTTACTGGTACTGGTACTACCAGAAAAAATTGTCGGTATACTGCACTTTTTCAAAGCGGTGCAGTTCTCATGTCTAATAAAACAGTCGTCTGTGAAATGTTTGCAATAAATATGATCATTTTGTTTCGGACGCCAATTCACAATATTTATGCTTTTAAGTCATAATTTTAGTCTAGCTTCAGTTGGAAACCTGTTAATTAATAAACATTTGATAATTATCTGTTGTTGGCGATTTTGTTTGTTAACAGATATGGGTAAGAAAGAACATCGATAAGTATTATAGACAAGGAACTCGACATCATCATCATCATCATTTCATCATTACAGCCCTTCACAAGTCCACTGCTGAACATAGGCCTCCCCCAAGTAATGTCACAAAGCACGGTCCTGAGCCACCTGCATCCATCGACTTCCTGCATGTCTTACCAGGTCGTCACTCCATCTAGTGGGGGGTCGCCCTACACTACGCCTACCGGTACGAGGCTGCCACTCGAGAACCTTTCTTCCCCATCGGTTATCGGTTCTTCGAGCTATATGGCCGGCCCATTGCCACTTCAGCTTACTAATCCGTTGGGCTATGTCGGTCACTCTGGTTTTACTGCGGATATCCTCATTTCTGAGTCTATCACGCAGAGAAACTCCGAGCATAGCCCTCTCCATAGCTCGCTGAGCGACCTTAAGCGTCCTCATACGGCCAGCAGTGAAGGACCACGTCTCAGATCCGTAAGTCATCACTGGCAACACGCACTGGTTGTACAATCTAGTTTTTAGAGATTGAGGTATACCTGACGAAAAGATATGCCGTAATTTCCCGAACGCTGCCCAGCCGAGTTGAATCCGTCGATTGACCTCTCGGTCGAAGTTGGACTTACCTAGTCGGACTATTTGTCCCAGGTAAACGTATTCGTCAACAACTTCGAGCATAGTGCTCCCAACAACTACCGGCATAGGTGTGACATGGACATTGAACATGATCTTTGTTTTGTCCATGTTCATCTTAAGACCTATCCGTTGGGAGGCACTATTGAGGTCATTGAGCATAGTGCTTAAGTCCTCCAGCGATTCTGCCATAAGGACTCGAAATCGAAGGTGAGTGATGTACTCGCCATTGATGTCAATACCGTATCCTTTCCAGTCCAGTAGCTTGAAAACGTCTTCCAATGCAGCGGTGAAGAGTTTCGGGGATATAACGTCACCCTGTCTTACACCTCTCTGCAGTTGGATAGCTTTCGAGCTCTGGTTCTGTACTCGGATAGCCATCGTAGCCCTACTGTACAAACACTTCAGCACTTCGATATACCGACAGTCAACTTGGCACCGCTGAAGGGACTGTAGCACCGCCCAAATTTCGACGGAATCAAAGGCTTTCTCATAGTCCACATACGCCAGGCAAAGTGGCAGATTGTACTCTTCAGTCTTCTGTACAATCTGCCGCAGGGTATGTATGTGGTCTATGGTACTGAAGCCTTTTCGGAAACCGGCTTGTTCGGGAGGCTGGAAGTCGTCAAGTCTGCGTGCGAGACGATTCGTAATGACTCTCGAAAACAGCACGTAGACGCGGCTCAGAAGGGAAATCGGTCTGTAGTTCTTTAAGAGAGCGCTGTCGCCTTTCTTAAAGAACAAGACCACCGCACTTCTGCTCCACGCCTCTGGAGTAGTGCCACCATGGAGGACGGAATTGAAGAGCTTCTGAAGGACTTCAAGTACCGGTGTTCCACCCGCTTTCAGAAGCTCCGCTGTAATTCCATCCTCGCCTGGGGCCCTGCCGTTTTTAAGGTGCTGGAGAGCCATTCTAATCTCGCTTAGACTGACGTCCGGGATATCATCGGAATAGTGTCGGATAAGACTTGCTCTTGGATCGTTACTCACACTTGCGTGTGGCTCCAACGATGATGTGTACAGCTGCCCATAGAACCTCTCAATCTCACTCAAAATCTCAGGTGTCCCGGAAACGATGTTGCCACACTCAGTCTTCAGCCTTGACAGTTGGCTCTTTCTGGCAGACAGATCTCTGGCAAAGACTTTGGAGCCCTGGTTCCGCTCGATCGCTTCTTTAATACGAGAAGTATTAAAGTTGCGTAAGTCTCGCCGTATGCATTTGGAGATCTGTCTGTTCAGTTGCCTGTATGCTGTCAAATCTGTTGACGATTGCAGCCTCATCTCCCGTCTAACAGCCATAAGATTAAGAGTGTGATCGGAGAGTTTTTGTGTTCTTCTGCGGCGGGTCTTGCAGAACTTAGCTCCGACCGCATGGATAGTTTCCACGAGCTTGTCGTTCATATCGTCCACTGCATTGCAATCTTCTAGGCACTGGAAGCGGTTACGTAACTCGAGCTGAAAGGTTTCGGGATTCTGGATTAGAGCACGAGGGGGACGGAGCGTTGACTTCATTAGACGAGACCTCTCCAACTTAACGTTTAGGTTCAGTGTGCCTCTAACCATTCGGTGATCGCTGCCAGTTTTCACCCTTGCGATCACTGAGACATCACTGAACAGTTGGCGTCTGGTCGTCATAATGAAGTCAATCTCATTTTTTGTCGAACCGTCGGGGCTCGACCAGGTCCACTTCCTGTGGGGCCGCTTCTGGAAGAAAGAGTTCATCATAAAGAGTCCCTCTTTCTCCATAAAGTCGGCCAGCTGCTGGCCCCTTCGGTTCCGTTGCCCTACTCCAAATTTCCCTACCTTCAGCTCACCGCTTTCTCTTGTGCCCAGTTTTGCGTTGAAGTCTCCCATCAACACCGTGTAGTAGGTTTTGGAGGAATGTATGGCTCTGGAAATATCCTCATACATTTCCTCCACCTCCTCATCGGGATGTGCCGAGGTTGGTGCGTAACCCTGAATGACCTTCAGCGAATACCGTTTGGTGATTCTGTGTATCAGGTACGCGACCCTCGTCGACACACTCCCAATCTTTACAACGTTGTTGACGAGAGATTTGTGGACGATAAATCCGACACCTCCTTGGGACAGATGGTCGCCCTCCCGGTGATAGAACAAGTTGCCGGACTCGAGGATTGCCGTGTCCTCCCCTTCTCTTCGGACCTCGGATAATCCAATAATATGCCAGCGCAACTTGTCTACCTCTTCTTCCAGCTCCAGTATCTTCTCGTCAGTCCTCAGGGTGCGTGCGTTATATGTTGCCAGGTCGAGTCGTCGTAGGTGGCAACCGAACCTCCACCGGAGATTCTTAGCACCCCCCTGCCCCGCCGTTACCATGGTCGCCACCGTAGCCAGGAATAGCGGGGCCGCCGGGGACTGGGGGCCGTCTGTTTGTGTATTTATTCATTGGGGGGTATTTGCCATAGTTGCCACGCTTGGCGAGCGGGTTGGCAACCGCAGTTTTTTTATTACGTCACAGTTGTCATCAGGAAGACGCTGCTGCCCATCTCCTGCCTGTCTCCCTCTGTCGCCTCTTACGACACCCACGGGAAGATATGGGGTAGTGGATATTCTTAACCGCCACTACACGGCAGGAACTCGACAACCCTATTGAATTTTATTGTTTATCAAAACTCAGTAATATACAGCCAAACATGTTGGTTTATATGATATTAAGATTAGTAACAAAATTTTAAGTACTTATGTTATCAAATAGTTTTAATTTGCTTAATATTTGCTGCAAATTCACTTACTTGTGAAATGTTATACCACTTCCCTTTTGGTAACGAGTTTTACAGACTACGCACACTCTCATTATTAATAAAAATAATTTTTATTATGTAACTAATATTATACACAATCAAACAACATAAAATACTTTCGTTTTTTAGTTCAAAAGTTCAAAATACAGACTTATTAAATAAGACAATATAAATAAGACAACAGACTTTGGCATATTATGTCAATTTTATTTTTCAAGACATCCTTTAGCGGCGCTTCAAATTGGCACAGTCATTTTGTATGGTATAGCCAGTCCAGCGTACTTGTATATATAGAGGTCAGTGGTAAAAAGACGTACATTATCTTCTCTATGACATCCGCATTTTAATTTTTTTAATTAGCTGTTGAATATAGGCCTGAACATAGATTAACCTTATAGAAGGTAAATTTGTCATGGATGCCACGCTTGGCAAATGGATTGGTTAGCGTATTTTTATTATTTTGAGTTTTTATCACGAAGATGCTAGTGCCAATTTCCTGTTTCTTTTCATCTTACACTGTCACTTAACGGCGAACACATATTTACTTGGATATTTTTAGAGCAATTAACTGCAGCATAATGGAACTAAATGGAATAAATTTGGCTTTCTACAGGAAAATAAAGTTCTAAATCTTAACTCAAAAAAGTCGTGGGTTCGAATCCGCCATTCGACTACTGGCGTGAACCACTCGTAACACAAGCAATTTAAGCTTACCACGAGTGGTTAAAGGGAATATAAGTATGTTTATAGCATTATTATTATTCTTTAAAAAAAAAAGAAAAGAAATTGAACAGATTACTAGACTAAAGAAAATGTTTAAAAAATATTACGGTGGGCTTCAAATAGCAGAACAATTGATAAACATCCCAGTAATTATAGTTATTCTATTACTCGATTAAGGTTTCGCCTTGATTGTAGTAGTGACGTGTACAGGCGCGTTTGTATGTGTGTGTGAGTGTAACTGCGATTCGTTCAACTCGCGATCGTCGATCGTACTGAGCGCTTCCAAGGCTTACTTACACAATATATATGTACACGGCTAACAACAACCAAAATCAAACCTTCATAGTGAAATAGAATAGTCATACCTTAACCAACAATTTAAGGTATTTGTTTCTGCAATTTATCTTCCAAATACATAATTTTCCCACCACGTAGCTCTCTCATGAACTACCACAGTAGAATAGAATAGAATAGTTTTATGCAATATATATCACACGTAATTCTTATTGAAAGGTATTTTTTACTTTGCCACTTGGTTTGGTTTGGATAAACACTTTGTCCTGGGAAGAACCAACAAGCAACCCAGCGGAACTTTCAACTAGTAGAGTTACAATTAAAGATATGTCCGGCAGGAGGGACGATACTCGTTTCCGGAAGAGGAGTGGGCTCACATTTCGTGGGAGGCAAAGGAGCTGATAGGGCAGCTACTGGTGCGCGAGGCGTCGCACCGGCTGAGCGCCGAGCGCGTGCTGCAGCACCCCTGGCTGCGCCGCGCGCACCCCGCGCCCGCCGCCGGTGCCGGTGCTCCGCTCCGCACGCCCACCAATATGCAGCGGTCAGTGCAAAAAAAACACACGTAACTCGCCTGCATTTACATTCGCAAACCCACATGTGAAGTCTATGCACCTACAAACTCACATATGCACACAAATATGCACCAGTAAGTATATACACATGCTCATCTAAATCAGAGGTTCCCAAACTTTTTTCTCATAGACCATTCAAAGTTTTACTATTTTCGATAGAGCCGAACCCTGCTGCTACATTTCTACTGTACTCCCAAAACTCCTAAAAAATATCACCCCAAATTGGGGAGTGTTAAGAAGAAAAAAATTGGCACATTTTCTTGAGTCCTATTTATTAAAATAATACTTGTGGTTATACAAAATTATAAACATTTATTATTACAAACAATCAACAATTGACAAAAATACGCAATGAATTCTGAAATGTAACTAAAAAATAGTCATACTTTTGATGACTATTTACTCGATGAATTGACAGTAAATTATCAATATTTGGCTTCAGTTTTGTAAGAAGTAATCTTAAATCTCCCCTTTCAATCCGCTCCTTTTTTTTTGTTAATAGGTTGGTAACGGCACTAAAACTTCTTTCGACGAGATATGACGAGGGAAACGCTATCAAAAATTTTCTTGCAATTTCTCACAGCCCAGGATATTTTTCGGGGATTTCTGCCTGCAGCTTAAATGTTTGATAGCCTTTTTTAAATTTCACCTTCAGTTCCTCATTGATGCTGAGCTCAAGTAGTTCCTCTTGTAACCACATTCGCCTCTTCCGTTTCATCAAATGGGCTTATGATCCGTGGTAGTATTTCCATCGTCAGAATATCTTCAAATCTATTTTTGAAGTCATCATGCAGCGTTTTTAAATATTGAACGTATGTCTGAATATCATCATCAAGACGTTCTATCTGTGGCAAGTGCGGAAACTGGAATTCGCGCTGACTAATATTTTGCTTCATTAATTTCAATTTACCAAGAAAAACCGAAATTACACACTTTGTTTTTATTAAATTAAGGCTGCACCCTTGTAACTAACAATGTTAACGTCATTGAATTTTATGAACAAATCTGTTAAGAACGCAATGTACGCTTTGTATTTGACCTGATTTTATTTTAAATCTGGTGCTGTTTCCAGATACTCTATCACTGATTCGAAAAGTGAGTAAAATCTTGATAAGCATGCACCTTTCGACAGCCAGCGTACTTCAGTATGTAAGAGCAGTCATTGGAAGTCTTCATCATTTTCATCGCACAATAGTGCATATAAACTGGTTTTCAAAACATTGCTTCTTATAAATATATATGATATATATGAAATAGATTTTTCTGTAAAAAAATCACTCAACATTAAATATCGATTCGCCTTTAGTGTCTGACTTCAAAGTTTTCGCGAATAGCAGCTCTTCATGGATTTCTTAGTCCATAACAAATCGAACATATTATGCCAATAATAATGGTTCATTACCAGGCAAAGTAGACTCCTCCAATTGAATAGAAAAATGAGTGGTTTGCAGATAATTACACAAGAAGCTTTCTCTATCAGAGCTCATTTTATCAATACGTTTTTGTACAGTGTTGTTACTTTAAAGGAATTCTTTTGAGTACATATACATATACACATCAACATGCAATGGTCAATGCACTTACCTTTACACACCCATTCCAACATGCAGTTTTCAGTGAAAAATACCTGCACTCCTAACATACAGCTCACACACTTGCACCGACATGCAACGACAAAAAAACACTTTATTGTCATAATATTACTTAAATGAACATAAATTATGTCCATATTATCCATATATTTAATCTAAAATAAATCACAATACGCATTTAAAATCTAATAAATAATTTTTATCCCTACAGTAACATGTCGGCACGCAATCTGTCCAACTTTGCGGAATCTGCGATGGCAGTGAACCGGGTTATTCAACAGCACTTTTCCATGAATTATTCTTACATGGAACGACCTACTGCAGCGCTTCGCTCCAGCAAATCTTGCCACCCTAGCCCAGATATCATTGAAGATGAACTCGAGAGAGCTGGTGTGGCCTTGCGAAGAATGTGTGCTGATGACTACTGCCCGCCGCTGGGCCTCTCCCCGCCCACAGAATCCCAGCTGCTGCGACGTCGTCTACAACAGCCGACGGAAAAATCTGTGCAAGTGCATTAGCCCAGCGTATTTATTGTATTTATCATTCTACCCTCAATGACCATACAAATGTACTACCGAAAATATTCAACTGGAATGGTGAAATAATAACCTGTAATAACTGAAGAGTCATTTTAACTAAATATTGATCAACAGTGGTTTGTGTGCAAATGGAATGATTCCAATTAACCTTTAAGAGTAGTATATTGTCTATACATAGATATACTTTGTAGCTGTAAGCCTCTGAATAGTTTGGCTTAATTGTGCTTTAAAGTGTCTGGTCGCAGATCCGAGGACTCGAATGTATTTAATAGTACGATATTGGTGCAGTAGACACCCGCCGATATGCGTCAGTCATTATTGTGCGGCAGTGCTTCTTTCTTTATGGCCTCTTGTGACGTCGGGACTCAACTAACAAACCGTCACACGCGCGAGTGAATTCAGTCGAAGGGCACGGACGACTGACAGACGGACAATACAGTGTGTGAAAAGTTTACTAGTGATTTGAGCCATACTGGTTCCGTCACATTCCATTGAGCGCCGCAGTACAAGATTCAACCCACCGCGCTGTGAAGACCCCGCGGGGTTTGATCGCTTGCAACGGCAACATTTAAGATCATCAGTTGCCATTATATAAAAGCTAATTTCACACTTGGCAACTAATTTTGTTATAAATTTCATTTATAAATAAGCCTTAGTTCTTAAATGCATATACATATATATAACTAAATAAATACTTTCATATAAAAAGTTTCATTGAGAAACTAAAAGTTGACAAATGTACCAAAAATTGCTTAGTGTGATTTTTAGCATAAATAGAAATAAAAAAAATATATATTTGTAGAGTATATTTTAGAGGGCCATGATCTCCCTATTGCTGTTGCAAGCAAATGAAGGCACTGTTACCTTCAAGCAGTGGCAACGAGGCGGTCCCTAAGGCCGTGACTCTGTGCCAATGGATAACTCTCCAGTGATACACGTCCGATCGCAATTCTCCTGTGAACGGTACTTAGAGCTGTAACAGTTTTATTTGAGCCTTTTAAAGATATATTTTTATGGATAAATAAAAACGACTGAATAGTTTTTATCAATTTGTAGAGTATTTGTGAGTTTGTTGCGGCGGCCGCGAGCCGCCGGAGACCGACGTCGGTCGATAAAATCGTATTATATGAACATAGTTGTGCTGATCTACATTATATTCGATAACAGATAAATTTTTTTTGTTTTCCTGGATTTAAGAAATCCGCTGTTTTTGTGATGAGCTTAATTGTGTGATTGACTTCAGTTCGTGGCCTATCCTTTGCAATAAACTATGAGAATGAATTTTGTTATTTTCGATAGCGTGTTCGAATACTAGTCTGTTATGTGATTGTTTTTTTGCATTTTTACCAACGATGGAAAAAGCACATCTCATTAATAATTAAGAGTGAATCAAGCTAAGTTTTATACGAGAGTTAAGGGCAATATGTGACATTTTCGCTGAGAGAGGTTCAAGGATGGTCGCGTTACTATACTTTTGATTATTAAATTGAATTAAATTCGCTTTATATTGTCAAATGTCGAGAAGCACTTCTGGACTTGATAGTAAGGGAAATGTCATATAGTTGTAACTATACCGTTGGTTAAGTGTTGCATGGTGTTCCATGGAACTGCCATAAAATTGTGATCAGTTTGAATACTTTTATATTGCTGAAAGAATGAAGTGTTGAGATAATGTTAAGCATAGACCTGCTAGAATGTAATCCTGCGTAAATCTTTGATTGGAGAAAGATTCGCGCAGCGCCACCTCAGTTAGGCCGTTATAGTTTCTATTTTCACAAATTTTATATTTTTTCAATTTATGTAATTATATAAATTTTATAACATTTTGTAATCCCGGTGGCTTTATCCAATCGATTTTAAACATACGCAGTACTTTGTTAAAATTGTTTTTCGACTAAATCATTGATTTAAACTGTCATTGAAATACAGATGTTTGAATTTTTAAAGTTTGTTTCTCTCGTCTTCTACCCCTATATAAAAGTATCGAAACTTCTTCAGGCATTAATTAATGTGAAAAACCAATTACCACCACACTGTAAATGGTATTTTCCGTGAGGTTGGGCCTTATTCAGATGATGCCTTTTTTGCTTTGCGTATTGTGCGTTACATACGTACGACTGAATTATAATGTAATAAACACTACGCGAACCGATACATAAGTACTCTTAAAACTCGCTTAAACTGGACAAGGCCTTCCCATTATCCGGAATACTTCCCAGACTCTCGTTTTAATATAGGTTGGCAACCTTACTTAAGAGGTCGACAAAGGCTAGTGTTTTTAATTAAAGGGCTTCTACACACTGTACAAAACTTCCTTGTGACCATAGTATAACTAATTTTGAGAATGTTTTAGCGACACAAAAGCAACTATATTATAAGGGAAATTGTTAGTATTAAAATAACCACGGGTAAAATAGGTACATAAAACAAACGCCAAAAGGAATTGTTCCGGGTTGGGTTGTTCAGTGAGTGGAAATTCTACATAAAAGGTGTACTGGGGCAATTAAGTAAATAGGTATATTCCGATTTATATTAATTTCTACCAAACGCAGCGACATATTTACTGGAGTCGACCGGAGGGACGATGGGTGAATATGATGACATCTAATCCTAAGATGCTAATAAATAATGTCACTGCGTTTGTGAAAATTAATATAAACCGGAATATACCACCCATTTTCGTAATTGCCCCAATGCACAATAGTAAAATTGTATTGCAAGTCGCAGATTAATATTTACCAACTGATTTAATTAAAATTAAAAAACTTGTCTTTCAAAGTCTCTTTTTGTTGTGAGCTCCACGGGATTAAAAATATTTGAGAATAATTTCGACGCAGATATAATACATATATAATTACAAATTCTCTAGGCACTATGCCTAACAGCCAAATTGTAAATTTTCAACATATTTTACCCAACCTATTGTAACGTCAAAGGGAGTATTAGACAGACCCCAAACGCCATGACGCCATTGTTCGTTTGATATTATTTTTGTTTGTGTTGTTGAAATAAAATTAAAACCCTAACCTAGTGTTTTTCTACATGTTTTAAGTATGTATTCCTATCATATTTGTTTTACATATGGAGTGTAGAGGTTAGAACAATCTCATAGGAGAATGGTTGAAAAAGTGTCTCACCTGTAAGCTAGGTATGTCGATCTTAAATCGATTATTTGGAGTAAAATAATCGATTTTTTAGATCGATTTGGTGCACCGCATCGATTCAATGAATCGATCCAAAAACCTCTCGAATCGGGCTGATTCATCTTATTCAAGAACTAGCGATAAAGTTCTCAAACTGGCTGGGGTAACGCAGTTTTTTTAATTTTTTGCTGTTGGTGGACGAAAAACAACCGGTCATACTACGTTGATAATATGAACGCAATATATTTGAATAAAACACACATTTATGAATCGCTAACCCGTCAAATCTAGCGGGAAACCCGTCAAGCTGTTAACACTGAGCACAAAGCGCACATGTGGCGTACAACAATAAAAAAACAGCGTACATCGTATGTAACATTGAAGTAATATGTACGTACGTACTATTGCCCCATAGATTACTGACTATATACTAGAGATTGGCATTAGAGTATTGCCCGTTCATCGTAACTTGACGCGTGATCCGATTGGTAGCCCTGTAATTTACAGTGTTGCATGTTTCAATGCGAATGGCGTTCCCGAAATGTAGGGACAGGTATTATGGAACGGGATATAAGAGCATGTATGCATGCATCTCAAGCACGAGGTTGCGGGTTCAAACTTGGCATGTACAGTCGAACGCAATTATCGCTAACAGTTAAGCCTTAAAAACGTCTTTATCTCGTATGAGTAAGAGCATAAATTTCGAAATTTAACTGTTACTACGGAGGTGCTGATGACTATACTTATGTGACTTTTTAAGTATCACAGTGTACTCTCTGAAATAATTCATATATCAATGGGGACATTCAGGTTAAATTAATTAAGACAGGGATAAAAGAATCACTTTATATAATTATGATCAATAAGGTGTAAAGGGATCATATTTTCTTCAATGTTACTTGGATGCTCATTGTCGCTATCACTTTCGTCAGTGTCACTGCTAATCCACAATAAAAAGCGATCATTTCCTTCAACTATTATTTTATCTTTCACTATGTACTCATCTTCAACTTTTGTAACATGTGAGCACTCTTTATTCCAAAGCTGATTGCTTATTGAGCCAAATAATTCTTTTATAAGTGATTACTTTTGATCATCATTACCTCAATTGGATTTAAACGCGCATGATATGGGGACAGTTGCAAAACATTATGACCATGTGATTTGATTAATTTTTCAGCTTTATACATGGGCTTTGATTTATTTTTTTTTATTAATTCATATAAAACATTTTTTGGCAAATTTGGTAAAAACAACAGTCCCTTGTTTTGAAGCCACTCTACCATATCTACATTGAGGCTTGCCATATTAAGGCTTTTATATGTTTGAACAGTGTGATATGGTACATTGCCCATCACAATGACACAATTACGTGGCAGGTTTGGTAAAACAGTCGTTATGGTAGTCTGATGATTTAGTTTGTGACTTGAATAGCAGTAACTCATTATTTATAAAGCAGTCTGTAGTTCCTGAATCTGTGTATGTACCTTGCTCCTCTGACCAATACACCTTCTTCAGAAACTGACTGCCAAATTTGGGACCCCATAAGAATAATGCATAAATGTTTCATCTAAGTAGACTATAGTCCGGCTCTCTCCTCGGTATTCTTTAAATTTTATTCAAGTAATTAAATCGCCAGGCAGATATATCTGTTCGTTTCATTAAATTTTTTCGTTTTGATTTACACTGTATTTATATCCTAGTCGTTTTAACATTTTTCATCGTAGACAGAAAAACCTATAGACTAATGATCGGCGTGGCCTCGAGTGAGAAAGGACGATAACGAATTTTTAGGTTATACAATAATCTTTATGACTTTTAAACACATTTAGATAA